TTAAATATCATAACATAGTGCGTCTACCACCCACACTCGTTACATGAAACATTACAATTTAAACGAAATGTTTACTGACTATTCTTAGGTACAATATATGTTAAACATGAAACAATATTAGAAAAGAATGAATAAAGTCAGAAGTACATCACTCATATAACCTAAAATTCATTTACAACGCTAATCCAAAATAAACGAAAAACGTGTTCATTCAGAAACCAATCAGTAGTCATTTCTACAATACTAATGACTGAATGTATTCAGTTGACAGATAAAAGCGCATTCACTCAAACAACATTTATGTTTATTCAAATGTTATTGGCTACATGAAACGTGGCATACAGAATCAAAACTATATAAGTGGTAACGCTGTTGGTTTAAAGCACTTGAAAACAATGAAACTTTGGTGTTTATTCATCGTGGCTGCGGTTCTCATTATCAACGGTTAGCTAACGATAACATACTTTTCCGCAATAAGCTTACTGCATTAGAAAACAATGATCCACACGTCTATCGAAGCTTACATCAGCACTTAGAGATCATTATGTGTTACCCATAAATGCATCTTCATTTAATGTAGATTAGCATAACATTTACGTTTTAAAATCAAGTGCACAACATCTTTATGTGTGTAACTGACTTTTCCACTGATAATATTTTTATTTCTTCTTTATTTAGTGAAAGCGGCACCAAGAAAAACGGAATATTTATCTGGTAAGTTGACGTTTAGTTCATTAATATACCTCCCTAACATTATTTTATGAGCAATTGTCTAGTGAACCCTTTGATGATTTCTTGCCTATGGTCACATTACATGGACAGTTTACCTAGTACAACATGGAACACACTCCATATCACACAAAATACAAATATGCGATTGAACAATCATAGTCAGTTGTTAACTGCTTTTCACTATAGTAAATATTTCTTCAATCCAGAATTTTTATTCATATTTTAAGCCATATCAGATAAGCAGATCACCACACATTGTCTTTACGGAAACATGAACTTGCGAAAACCGGATATTACGGTCAACATATCCAAATAAAAACTAATTTCCATCAGCCGAATTATCAATTTCTGATTTAAATAACACCTTTTCTCCACACATTATCATATAAGTGTAGTTTAAAGCTGTAGTTATGAATCGATCACATACTTCCATAAAGCGATCATAATATTCTCATGTCTTAATGCAGAATGGTTGTTTTCTTACATTGATATAAATCCAACTTTATTGAAACTATTTCGTGTCATTTTATGTGAAATAAGGACGACGTCTTTGTTACATGACTCCAGAACATAACAAATTTCATTACTTTCATTGTAACATGTTAACATTTAGACACTGAGAGCAAACGAAATGTCAATAGTAATACAGGTAGATCTAGAAAATTATTTTTCACAATCTATTAAAACTCATGAAATAAGAGTTTGTTCAAAGAATTATAAACATCGATTATGAATCGCTGAGACAGAGCATTTTAAAGTTTGATATTCTTATGAAGCCTGAGCATAATGGTTCATTATGTATGAAATGAGTTCTTACACACTGCATTCCTAAATACCTGCAGAGTATTACGTATTTGTGTACTTGTTAAGCAATCAAATATTAGAATATTAGAACAATTTATTGTTTCATATTTACGATCAATCAAATTACATGGACAAGAATATTTCATAACTTTGCTAGAAGTTTTCATACTTCGAGATTGTCCACAACAGTCGAATAATAGACTATTGCCAATTGTTTACCTTATTCAAAAAGATTCAATGTTTGAAGTTAGTTTAATCTTGAAAACTTAGAAACTCATAGATGTCGACAGGAAAATGTAATTTTCCCCTGTAACATATTCAGCGGACGTCACTGAATGAGTCAAAATAAAATAAGTATTTCTACAAGCTGAAAATTACGAAACAACATATATGAATTTGACGAAATCAACGAATTCTACAGGATTACCTCCAATTTCGACATCCAACCATACATAGTAATAATTACCACATTAACTAACAGAGGGGAACGACACTAAATTTTCCTGATAGATACGTTACTATATGCTAGAGGTTCTAAATTGAAAATTTATAAACGTTTTGTGAAATTGTTCCCATTGTTGGTAGCACATTCAACGAGTATTGTAAATAGCTTAGATCAGGATTTCGATAGCAAATGCCGTTATGAGCAAAGTCTGCAAATGTATTTAAACTCGTTTCCGTGAGTGTGCAACTATAATAAACCGCTAATTATTTTCACATTCAGATCATTTGTGAAATCAATAACGAGTGAAATCCATGGTCATCCACTTAATTTTTATAGCCACTCTGAAAACACTGTACTGAACCTAGTCGTGCACATGGCTTACGAAATTGGACTTTTCAAGAACTCTGGTAATAGCTTCAATCATTCCGTCCCAAACGTTGCAGAACACTAGCATATTAGGGCGGCAGATTCAATTCACTGGACATGTCTAACGTGCGATATTGTTTTCAACTGAAACATTTTGCATGGACACGCAACGCAGTTAGGTTTTCATCATCATAATGGCTAACATCCCACACACACTCACACGGATCCATGTAATTTGTTTTCAAGCATGATAGCCAGCTAGCTGTACAAAATTCCGAAAATCGTAGCCTGCGTCACGAAAAGGGAACATCAGTTTTTTTAGTTGTACAGCGTTCTCAAACAAACTTCAATTTCCACACAATATCATTCCACTTCTATCACGCTAGTCACAGTGCATGTTAACTGAACCAATTCCTCCAAGATTCTGTTTTATGTAAACGACCTTGCAGGCGTAATTTGGCACTTCTGTGCATTGACCAGTGACTGCAAAGCGAAACCGAGAATATTTTTAGACCGCATCAATTTTTCCCATTTCCGATTATTGCCGCACCATAATCGCAAGTAACATGTGAAATCGGAGTGATCAAACACTGTTTGACTAATTCCACGTTCAGGTGAGATCATGCAACTTCTGTGGAGCGGGTCAGTTCGCCCGAGTTCATGCTTATTGATTATCCTCATCAAGTCCGTAATAATTTCAAGACTACCTCAACATTTATTCGTGCACTGCAGTACAAATAGTTCCCTAATTAACCATTTGTTCTCTTCAATTGATCGGAAGATACCCGTTTTGTGAGCTGTGATAAAATTGTTTCTTATGTTTTTATTTCCCCTCTTCTTAACTGATAATCTTTTGCATCTTATGAAAATAAAAAGCGAATAGTGAATATTGTTGTTTGATTTTCACCACAGGAATTCGAAAAGAAGAAGAAGATAGGCGTGAAGAACAGAGTGAGTGTTCCGATAATAATCATTTGCTTCTTATGAAAATAAAAAGCGAATAGTGAATATTGTTGTTTGATTTTCACCACAGGAATTCGAAAAGAAGAAGAAGATAGGCGTGAAGAACAGAGTGAGTATTCCGATGATTTTATTTAGAGTTCAGTCACATTTAATGTTCAGCTGATATTCAGTTGTGTTTCTCATATACCTGCGTGCAGCGAAAACACATTAGATATTCTGTGTGAAAATGCATGATGTTGGTCGTTCCATTCAAATGAACGATGTCGTCACTAAAGGATCTGGTAACACTGATTTTGTGTTTGAGTGCCTATCCGTGAAATCGTGTTCTCCAGGGTGAATGAACGCACTGCTTTTGTTTTTAGGAAATTCCCAGTTCAAACTGTGTAAATTAGTGAGCTCTAGACCCACTTTCACAAGCGATAAACGGTCAATTATGTCATTGTGTAATCTGATGAATTCTTCTCCTCCATAACAACATGTCCAAACCCACACTGCATGTCGCCTATTTGACTGGCAGACAGCTCAATTATGTCTGGATGGCCACTTGTTTTCTTGTTTTATGTGATGTGAATTTTCGAACTTTTTAAAGTTTACTTTTGCCACTGTTCCGTCGTTCATTACCCACGTTCTCTCTAATATTCACACTAGTTTTATCAACTGAATAGCGTATTATTTTATTGGGCAGGTTTTTGAGTCTTCTGACATTCTTTTCATTGAAGCTCGCTTATGTGATTAACGTGCGGATTGTTGTTCAGATTACGTTGGTGTGATGAACGGCGCGTTAACACTTAGCGTGTGATATACATTCAAAACACGCTATAACTGTTTGTATTTTGGATTCACGAACATTTGTATGTAATCATTTGTCGACTGAAGCGGTATTAATCACTGGATAATAATAACACTCCATTGCTTCTCATGTTGAAGAAAACACAGTTCGCTGGTAAGCGAACAGCGCTTGTGATAAAATCATTCATGAAAACACCGATCTCATGTGACTGAGTAAAGAAGGAATGTACAAGCAATAGTTGAGGCACATCAATCAGCAACATTATCTTAACAGACTAAATACAACACTAAAAAGTATGTTAGATTTGTATTGCATAGATCTGTTCACATACTTGTTTTCATAATCTCCACTGTGAAGACCACTCAGTTGCGATGAGTCACGTCGAAATCTGTCGGTGTACAGATGAAAGAATGACAGCTCCTGTAACCTTTTGAACAGCTTGCCATTTACATTCTCAGATTCGGATTATTTACGCGCACAGTACTCTAATCGATTTCGTTAAATAGCGCTGTACTAACTCACATTTAAAATTATCTAATAGGTTACAAGTTTAAGTGATGACGGGTCTTCATAATCGGATCATGGAATTACATGTTTGATCACATGTGAATACGGTTTCCGTAGAGTTGACCTGAAAATGTGTTGATATTCTAATCTTGCCGTGTGTATGAGTTGGTGTTCAAATAATCGGATAAAATCCGTCGCTAACCACCAAGGAATAAATTTTATTTTGTGGAGACCATTGTGGAGACCAGTCAGTCCACCATGTGAGCTATTCAGGAGTCTCATTCACAAAAGAAGCAGCTGACGGTTAATAATTCTCCAAACGATGAGTTGGCAAACACCAATCTTTGTTGTCAGTTAATATCAAGTGTGCTCTCACCTTTTATTCTGGTCTGATTAACCAACATATGTTGAAAATCTATTATGAGTAGATGTGATTTCGATTTGATTGCGTACAATTATTTGTCTAGAAAAGCAAAGATTAATTGATGCTGGTAAGTCATTTTTGCGTTTCATGTTTGTACTGTGTGACTGTTTTGAAAATATTTTCAGTTTTTCATTTTCTTTGATTTGTTTTATATCAATTTGAAGATTGCTCTTATAATTGTGCTCTTTTTTGATGTATCTCCGTGTTTGTTGTTCTTGATGTTGTGTGTTATGTCGACTTGTTTCATTTAACATTTTTTATTTCATAGAGAATCGAAGATTATTCTTCTTTGGTTCGATTGGTTAGTCAGCTTATTTTTCAGAATTTATTTATCAGTTCTATTACATTTCCTCAATAGGTGTTTCTTGTTTATCATCGACATTCCCATTACATTTTATGTAACATGAATTTTGCTCACGGGGAGAATTAACCTAAATAGTGATATTGCAGTGATTTTTCTGTTTCTCATGTGTTTTCATATGAATATGATGACATGTCTTTAAAAGCGTTTTTAAATAGCCATCAATATCAGTATCATCTTCGTTATGAACAACAGGGCGTCTGTTTCACTTTTCCATATAAACACTCCGAACACTTTGTTTTTCATACACACATAAATTACTTATATATTGCTGGAACATTCTATTCATAATAGCATAACTTTTGTTTTTATACTAAAGGTGGAGCGTCAGGAAGATCTGATATACAAATACCACGTAAACGATATATGTTACTTATACTGATCTATTTACATGCATCATATACACTTTGCAAGATAACTATGATTAAATTCCACATTATTGACTGGTTCGTTCAAACAAACTGCAGAAATCCACAAGTCATTTTGTAGCTTGTCAGTCAACAATTGTGCATAGCGACTGCTCAAGTGACCATCGAACTCATAAGCCTCAGATGTCCCTATGTAGTGATTCGATTGATAATGTTGTGGTGTGTCTCTCACTTGTATACTCACATCAGCAAAATAACAGTTAATTTGCCTTCGATAAATTTCCACTACCATTTCAATAGGAAATAAAATGATTTCACACAAGTAGTTCTAGGTGGTTATTACGTTTAATGAATTAATGAACGAGCAAAGACCTCGTCGCTTCTGTTTATAATAATTACAAACATAACAAACGAGTATATCATATGAAAGTACTCCACGTCCCCAAGAATTGCGGAAAACCCGAGATATTCCTTAATACCAGGTTTCACACTTTAGGGAAAATGAGTATTGCAAGGTAGAATTTTCTGTATGATACATCTTTCACTGACAACGCAAGATTCATAAATTATTTCATTGGACTGCGTTAATGCTTGATCCCTTGAAGCATGTGATAAGTATTCTAGACTAATAATATTAACCATAAACATCATGTTCAGTTCTGGTTAATACATAATCAGCACAGATGTTTGTTGTCAGCAAAATCTAGTTAGTAAGTGGAATATAGCTCTTCAATAGTCAAGTGTACTCCGAGTAAAATCAATGAAAATATTTACTGAAAGTTTCATACAGACAGTTTCGGTATTTTTACATACATTTACGCAACTACTTGTTTACTCTATTGTAGGTCGTTATTTTGACACGATTTCCGCAAATAAATAGTGTTATTCATATGTAAAGAGTAACACGTAGTATAATCACGTACATAGTTTTGAATAATGCTATGTACAACAATGTTTTTCATTTGAATACTTTTATAGAATCTTACATAATCAACAAAACGGCCGAAGGTAAGTGTTAGTTGCAGTTAATGTTTTCTTAAATGTTTCTGCACGAAAAAACTATATTGTCTCCAAGGTAGTTCCGTTTGATTTCAACGGTTGACAGATTGAAAGCACCGTCACTCTGTTCCTTAGACTTGTTATATCCGGGGGAAGATTAAATCACGAGTAACTTGTGAGACATAATAATTAACTAATATTATCTACACATTCTTATGGTATAACTTTTCAATAACTAGATTATGTCTATTCATATTCCTCTTATTATAAGCCTCATTTTGACCTATAGTTTATTATTGTACGATTTACTGTTCGTAAGCTATGTTCAGTTTATTGACTACTGTCTCCCACGTTCACAGACACCTTTTGGCATTATTGTGTACAAATGTTACTTCCTATTGTATGGTGCGTTGCGGTCTGTTCTATTGATATATAAACCCAGTATGTCTGAAATAAATGATTCAACTCGGTTCGCATAGTGGAAGCTGGTATTGTTGTTCCGGACTCAGGTGGACGGGCTAGGCGGACATAGGACCAATAAGGACGCTAGGCTGCTCATACCGGTCGGACGTCATTGGTTTGACACAGTGCTAAGATTGCATAAGTCACACTTTGATTGTTGGATAAATCACACGATAACTAGCCGGACATAAAGTGCTAACAAAACCAACTTCATGAAAATTAAAAAGGAACACTTGTTGAAAAAATGTACAAGATACTCATTGTGCTTTGCGAAAAGTGCCTTTTGCGATTGATCTTTTAAACAGGATAATGTTTATCTCAATAAGTAGGAATCATAAGCCAAACTGTATTTTATCAGTTTATTTATTCAAATTATTCTAGTATAAACTATCTCTGACAAGTGGTGTTAAATGTTGAATGAGATCAGTTGTGGATATTTGCAGTTACTATGACCTCGACAATACCTCGAAATTATGAAGAATCTAGTGTCTGAATCACATGAGGAACCCTTATTTCACTCGTTCTGCATATGAATTTTATTGATGTCAACGATTACTTGATGATGGCTTTTGCCCAGTATTTTACGATCAGACAACAAAGTAACGAACGTGATTTCAGAGTATACGATAAAAGGCTAACGTTTGATAAATCCAACATCGGATGATAAAATTTACAACTCGGACAATGAACACATGCACACAATAATAGAGAATCGGCGAAAATAAACACAACTTCATTCGGTCAACCGTTAAATGTCTTGAAAGTAAACACTCTTTTGAAACGTTAAGTCTTATTTTGAAATGATTTATGGTTACTTACTTAATTACTCCTGTTACTCCTCGTGGGGGAGCATAGGCCGCTCACCAGCATTCTCCATCCAACCCTGTCCTAGGCAATCATTTCCAGCTCCTTCCAGATAATATTCATCCTTTTCATATCTACTTCTGTTTCCCGACGTAATGTCTTCTTTGGCCTTCTTCTTTTCGGCTTCCCTTCACGACTCCAAGCTAGGGCTTGCTTCGTAGTACAGTTTGATGGTTCGCAAAATGTATGTCCCATCCATTTCTATAGTCTTTTCTTAATTTCTTCTTCAGTTAGAAGCTGATTTGTTCTCTCCCACAGTAGGCTGTTGCTGATGTTATCAGGCCAATGGATGTTGAGGATCCTGCGTAGAAAACTATTTGTCAATACTTGTACATGTTTGATGATGGTTGTAGTAGTTCTCCAAGTTTCAGCTTCGTACCGTAGAACTGTCTTGACGTTCGTATTGAGGATTCTGAACTTGATAGTGGTTAGCAGTTGTTTTGAGTTCCATATGTTCTTCAATTGTATGAATGCGGCCGTTGCTTTGACAATCCTCGCCTTTACGTCTACATCTGATCTTCCTTTTTCATCGATGATGCTTTCCAGGTATGTGAAGGACTCTACATCGTCCAGAGATTCGCTATCAAGAGTGATTGAATTGCTGTTCTCCGCTTTGAATTTGAGGACCTCGGTTTTCCCTTTGTGTGTGCTGAGGCCTACTGATGCAGAGACTGCTGCTACATTGGCTGTCTTTATCTGCATTTGTTCATGTGTATGCGATAGGAGGGCTAGGTCATCTGCGAAGTCCAAACCGTCCAATCGATTCTGAGCAGTCCATTGTATTCCGTGTTTTCCCTCAGATGCCAAGGTCTTCATTATCCAGTCGACCATCAAAAGAAAGAGGAAGGGAGATAGTAGACAGCCTTGTCTGATTCCGGTCCTTACTTGGAATGTGACTGTCGGCTGTCCTCCATGCACGACCGTGCACTTTAGTCCGTCGTGTGAGTTCCGGATAAGATCGACAATCTTCTCAGGAACTCCGCAGTATCGAAGAAGTTTCCATAACGTCCTCCCATCGGACAACGAACACATGCACACAATAATAGAGAATCGTTGAAAATAACCACAACTCCATTCGATCAACTCTTGAAAGTCTTGAAAGTAAACACTTTTTTGAAACGTTAAACCGTATTTTGAAATGATTCATGGTCACTGTTTATAATAACACAATCAATTATACTTTATTTCATTTAGCTTTTAAATCTGAAAAACGAAGGAAAGATGCTAAAGGTATATGTTAGCAATATTTGACATTATTATTCGATGTTTATTTTGTAGATGATTCATAGTTGTAAACTATTCACCTTATTACTAGACACTGTGTAACATGAGAATAACCCAGTGAATAAATTGTTTTAAATCTCATACCTGTTTGATATTATTACACAACAGTTCTCAATTAGCATTCGAATGGATGCTGATCATAAGCTATCCTATTGAAGTGCATTATGTATATAAGTTCAAACACTGAGGAGACGTAGTTCGTTTTATACATTATCCTATCACATAAATTCATATAACCCGATGACATTTTATTTCTCTCATTTGATGACCAATCAACAACTACATTCGACTTCAGTGTTCCACCAATCATTCTCATTGTTATGTTCACTAAATAATATATTCATGTAAATAACATTGATATTCCTCATCTTTAAACTTCATCTTACTCACAAACTCAGCACAGTGTAGAATACTATTATTTGTAATAGAGGTCGACTGATCGTTCCCACCCAACACCTATAGCTTACATTTATTCTCAGAAGTAGCAAATCAAGTAGAAAGATTCGCTTCCCGTTTAAGATTGGTCATTATATTTGGAATTGAAACCTCTTTGGACTAACAAAGATCATATGCACAACTGAATACTTTAAACCGCTCAACTTCAACGAATCGAGCGTCGTAGATGTGATGAACATCAATAGAAACCTGCACTGCAGAATATGACTAGTAAAATATCCGCACGTCATGACAATAACCTAACCAAACACAATATCACAAACTATTGCTTTCCATCAATGAGCGCTAGGTTCTCTTATTGTCCGTGGATTTTGAAGATACCCTTTGCTTCACTGTCATCACGACAAATGGTTTACAAGTAGCAATTTAAACACACCGAAAATACATTTTTATAATACACAACACGTTATTGTTTCAGTTGACGCTTTCTCTTACTCAGTTGATTTGACTTCCAAATTTT